TCTTTTTGATTAGGATTTCTGCTGTTTTGCTCTGAATACAGCCCCCCCCCCCCCACACACACACTTTCCTTAAAAAAAATTGCCTAGGACTTTTTTGTCTTTTTGAATCTGTGAATTGATATATTTCATCTATTTTTGAAAACCATTCATCCTTTTGTATATTGCTTCTGCCTCGTTCACCTCTCCCATCTCTTTCTATAACTCTATTTAACCTTCGTTTATACTTTTTAATTCTATTCATTTTATTTATTCTCTGTAGCTCTTCTTCTTTTTATTGTAACTCCTAACCTTGTTTTGGCAAGTTGTCAAGGCTGTAGCATAATAGTTTAGTTTCCAGAAAAGGTAAAGTGTTAAGTAAAGAATTTAAGCGTAAGTTTGTTTTATGAACTTGACTAACACAGTTGAGACATGGGCAAAAGAATAAATACTTTTTCGACTTAAAACTAGCAGGCTCATATATGTCATACCAGAGTCCTAGTGAGGTAACAGCAAGATTAACAATCAGCTCCAGAAGTTGGGGACATGTTTTCTGATGAAGATCTTATATTTTTGATATTGACTTGAAAAATGATAGGCTGTGAATATGGATAGCCCATTCAACAGATCCACTTATAAGACAGAGTTAATATGGGGTTAGATAAAATATTTCTGCTTGCTTTAATCCATCCCCTTTTTTCTTTTCTGTTTTTTTGTAATTAATAATTTCTCTATTAAAAAGGGTCCTACAGCTTTACAACCACAGCACCAGACACGGCCCTGAACAACGATGAGGTCAGTGAGGCAGCCCCTTCACAACACCGAGCTCATATCTGGTTGAGGACCTGGCTGGGCTGTGGGCATCCCCGACAGCAGGCTGGGGCAGAGGTATCGGGGTGGGTGGCACCACTCACTCGAGATTCACAGAACATGGCAAGCCCACCTGTTTGGCGTGGCAGTGAATCATCCTATACAGCTCGTTTTCTTTAAAAAAAAAAAAGTTACAATACAGTAGAGTTCAAGTCCGGGAGCAGGAATGTACGATAATTGAGGACAAAAGTTGGTGGCCTGTCCTGTGGTCTGCTGGACTCCATTTCAGCTCTGCCTTGATTCTGTCACTCTGGGCAGCAGCTAGCTGGCACCTGGCCACAGGTCAGGGTCCTGGCTGCGACACAGATGACAGGTGAGGGTAGGACCAGAAGTTCCAACGATGATGGGTACACAGGCCTTTTTTGTCAACAGGTGAGATGCCACCTCCCCCAGCCAGGTCCTGGGAATTCAGTACACACAGCACATATGGACGAAGTCCCAGAGGGGGAGGAGGAGCAGGTGTGGGTTGCCAGGATGCACTCCCCTGTGGGTAGGCGTTCTCCCAACCTTCCCCTGCACCTGCAGCGCGGGGACCCTGGTGGCCCATCCTGAGGCCCAGTCACCACCAGCTGGAAGCAGAGAACATTGGCTAAGAGTTCCCTGGTTCAAGTGGCCAGATTGTTCTTCCACGTCCCCTTTTTTCTGATTGTTGTATCTATAAGAGCACTCTAGACATATATGGTAAGTGTTCTAGCTATGAGGGTGAACAGACAAGCATGATACATTTAGCTGCTTCTCAGAAAACATTGGTTCTTGCAGCTGATTTCCAAAGCACAAGGAAAATTATTTCCTTTTTGCTAGGCCATTTTTGTCACAATAATACCTATGACATTATGTCTACTGAAGAAATTAGGTTCACAATCTTCCTCACTATCCATATATTTCTGGTTAGAATTAACTGACTTTCTGGGACTTTGTGATAGACCCTATAAGCAATGGAGGAAACTAGACTAGTCCCATTACATTATTTGTCATGAGATTGCCAAGAACTGCTGGAATTTTGTACTTCAGGCAGAAGAAATGAAAACTTAGTTCCTGCATTCTTTCTTCTAATCACTAACTCTTCCCACTTACCCAATCCCAGCCTCCCCAACAGGAGGTTTCTCTAAGGAGGAGACAGAGTTGGTTACTGCTCATTGCTGCTAAGATAAGTCATGCTGGATTCTTCTACCTTAGGGAAAATTTTGCTGCTCAGAGTTGAAACCAAAGTATGGGGCTCAACCTTGCTCAATTTGTTAGACATTCTGAGGTAGCATTGCAAGAGAAGGTGAATGCTTTTCTCAGAGCAGGGAATTGTCTTTTAATAGGGGAGAAAGGAGGAGAGGAAGGGTAAGTTGCATGTCATACAACCCATTTGCTTAGTTTGAACTATGACACTGATGTAGATTTAACATTTTTTTCTACTGATAAAAATAGTTTACCAGTCTTGTGGGACATGACAGGTTAATTTTTAAGCATCCTTATGACTACTCACCTTTATATGTGCAATATTAGTATTCTTAGCATCTATTGCAGATAATACCTTTACATTATTTTCCAATTAGAAAAATTAGGTTTTAGGCAAAAATTCAAATGTGTATTCTATATTTCTAGGTTAATATATGTATATACATACATAGAAAAGTTTCACTTTACCCACAATATTTCATAAAATTCAAACTTTATATTCTTCTTTCCTGTCTGCTTTTTCTCTTATCACATTGCCAAACATTTTCTTTCAAGGACTTCTTTCTTTTCTGTTTCCTGGTTATTTTATTAAGCTTTTCTCCCAGTGAGTGGTATAAGAAACACACTTCTCTAAGAGAGAAAATATTTTAATTCTACTTGATTTTTAAAAATTGTCCCTGACCTTAACCAAATAAATGATTATCTTAATTTTATACAAAATTTATCTCGATACAAGGTCGCTAGGAAGTTTCTGAGGATATGAGAACATTACAGTCTCCTTTCTTCCCTAAGTTTAAAGAATAGAATATCCCCTAATTAGATTGGCACCATATCATGCTGATCAGCTCCTCCGGTTTTATCTAGAGAATTTTGACTTATTTGAGAATACCTTTATGTGATTAATCGCGAAACTATTATTTCAAATGTTGAGTGCTTACAATATACCACATACTTAATATATGTAATCCATAACCTTCATTCTAACAAGAACCTTATGAATAAAATGGTATGGTTGTATCAGTTTTACTGAGGGTAAATAGAGATTTAGAAAGTTACAGGTATTGACTCAACATCACATAGATTGTGAGAAGCAGAACTGGGACTTATACATTGGCTATTTATGCTCTGGAGTGTTTTAGTTTCTCTAAGAAACATGTAAATTATTTCTCTCTAGCCTACAATCTTATCAGTTATTCAATCTATACTTTTAAATGCTTGCTTTGGGCTAGCACTATACTGGGTGTGGAAGTGGAAGATGAAGGTAAGATCTTGACTATCTCATATTGGGGAAAAAACTGGAAAACAATTTTTTAGGCTGATAAATCAGAGTACCAGGGAAATATTTAGAATAGAATTTTAATGAAAGCACAGTGAAAAGTGGAGGCCAATCTAAGACTGAATTAGATATCTATTTCTGTCTATCTATCTATCTATCTATCCATTTGTCTATTTCTATATCTATAATCCAAACTTAGAAAAAAGCATTGCCATGACTCCTCCCAATGTGTGACATCTTTGCTATTCCAATTTTCATGGCAAAGTTTTAATATGTGACAAAAAAACCCAATAAACAACTCAGAATATCTTTCTATTAACAAGATGGGTAAGTAGCAAAAGGGAAAGAGGATCCTCGGCACAACAGAGATACAGTATTTGTGCACAGTTATTGCACAAATTATTGAAATCCATGCCTTCTTATCCCAGTTTGGTATTCTGCCTACTAAAAATTAACATAATAACCCAGACAATAAAGTTAAATTTAATTTGGAGTTGATGGTAGAGCTTCTTCTTGTATCATTCCTCTGCCCCCCTTTTTTTGCAATGAGACCATTGCATCATTCTCAGGCTTCTTGTCTTGACATCTACCCCTACCTCTTCTCAGGAGCCTGTGTCAGGAGAGCATCTTTGTCCCAGCTGCAAGTTTTGAGTCAACCTGTAGAAGCGTGGAGATCACTGTGCATCTACTGCACAGAAGTAGATGCCTGAGTGACTGGGCTGGGCAGCTGTGATATGCAGGGAACTTTGTTGCTTTTTCTCATCCAACTTGAAAGTTATTTTTTTATGACTTTTCTCTTCTCCGCCTTTCTGTAGCTTCATCAAGAAAATGAGACCTTCACCATACTTCTGCCAGTACCAGTGAAAGCCATAAAAAATTTTTGATGAATTGCAGTTTATGGTGAGAGCCTCTCCCTCTTGGATGGTCAATGACCGAGGACTCTGCTCCACTTCTTGGCTACTGACCCCTGTTCAAAAAGACAATAAAAAAACATTAGAAGGCCCTTGTAAGATATTCATGGTCATAGTAGAATGGTGTTTCTTTCTACACCCACATCCCCCAGGTAGCATCATCATCACATCAACACAAAATATTGTCCATTTTTTCAACACATATCTGATTTTCAGAAGGGTCTTCCCAGGACAAAAGATACTAAATTGCTGCCCTCAGATGCTGTCATCATCTCACAGCTCTCCCAGACTAACCACATACGTACTCACAGGCTACTTGTAGCCCCAATAGTCCTACGAGTAATTGCAGAATAGTCTCCATCCCTTGGCTTCTCAGAAAACACAGCAAAATCAGGTTTTCCTGAAAGGACTTTCCCAGCGGAGATTACTTTGCTCATTGGTGCAGGAGACTGCACCAATCAAAGATCAGACCTGAATCTCTTTCTTCAGTACTACACAAAACTAACTCAAATATTTTTTAAACACTGCCACCCTTTGGCTAAACTAAGAAATATTGAATAATGAATGATTTTTCTGGAGTTTATTTATGTGAGATACATCTATTTATTGCAATAAAGTATGCCATTTATTACAAAATATAGAAAATATCTGGTTACCCTTGTATCCTTGAGAAAGTTTCCGCTTTATAATTGATAAAGTAAAATATTTTATTCTCTTAGTACAGAATAATTGTTTTTCAACATTTAGTGCTGTCTGCTTTTGATTTCACCCTTTTGAAGAAGTACTTTACTTAGGTATACTTCACATAGAATAATATTGTATATATTTACAAGGTACAATTTGATAATTTTGGCACATATTTGGAATCATTATCACAATTAAGATATTGAACATCTGCAGGACCTCCTATCCCCTGAGGTCCTATCCCTTGAGGTCTTTTTAAATCCTTCCTGAATATCTTTCTAACACATCTCCCCAATGCCCATTATGACCCAGGCAATCTCTTGCCTGCCTTCTCTTACTATAGGTTACTTTGCATCTTCTAGAGTTTTATGTAAATAGAATCATACAGGATATACTCTGTCATCTGGTTTCTTTCAGTATATTTAAGATTGTGATACTTAGCCTACTCTGTTAAAACAATATACCATAGATTGGGTAGCTTAAACAACAGAAATTTATTTCTCATAGTTCTGGAGGCTAGGAAGTCCAAAATCAGGGCATCAGGCAACCTGGTTCTTGGTGAGGGTTCTATTGCTGCCTTATCAAAGGTCAGCATCATACTGTGTCCTCACATGGCAAAGCGGTTGAGTATGCTCTCTGACGCCTCTTATTAAAATGACAGTAATCCCATCATGAAGGCCCCACCCTCATAATCTCATCTAATCTTGTTTACCTCCAAAAGGAGGCACTATCTCAAGCACCATCACATTGGAAGTTAGAGCTTCAACATATAAACTAGGGGGGACCATATTCAGTCTATAACAGAGATTCATTCATTGTTGCATTTATCAGTAGTTCTTTCCTTTTAATTGTTAAACAGTATTCCATTGCGTAGATTCATCTGTCGATGGACATTTCAGTTATTTCCAACTACTATTTCTAAACTACTACAGAAATATTTTTGTATAACAAAAGCTTTTATTTCTTTTGGGTTAATATCTGGGAGTAGAATTGCTGAGTTATATGGTAGGTGCGTGTTTGACGTTTTAAGAAACAGTGGAACTATTTTCTGAAGTAGTTGTATCATTTACATTCTCAACAGCATTGTGTGAGAGTTTCAGTTGCTCTACAATCTCTCTAGTACATGGCATTGTTAGTTATTTTTTTTTCAGTCATTCTATTCGATATGTAGTGGTATCTTATTGTTTTGATTCACACTTCCCTTAAGACTAATGATGTTGAGCATCTTTTTGTGTGTGTTCATTTACCATATAGGCCTTCTTTGGGGGAAGTTTCTATTCAAATCATTGATGTGTTTTTAAAAGCTTGAGTATTTGTTTTATTGTTAAGTTATAAGAATTCTTTGTATGCTCTAGATATAATTCCTTTGTTAGATATATGTTTTGCAAAGATTTTCTCCTTTCTTCCCTCCCTCCTTCCTTTCTCTCTCTTTTGTCTTTGTTTTTTAGAGACGAGGTCTTGCTCTGTTGTCCAAACTGGTCTCAAACTCCTGGGCTCAAGTGATCCTCTTGCCTTGGCCTCCCAAAGTGTTGGGATTACAGGCGTGAGCCCTGGCATCTGGCTGGGAATATTTTCTCCCAGTGCTTTGTTTCTATTTCCTAACAGTGTCTTTTGAGAAATAAATAATTTCATTTTTATGAACTCTAGTGTTAATATTATGTTTTGTATTCTTTGTGTTGTAATTAAATCTTTGACAAACCCAGGGCATCTAAGATTTTCTCCAATGTTTTATTTTATAAATTTTAAAATTTTAGCTCTTTCATTTAGGTTTACTATTCTTTTGGAGTTAATTTTTTAAAATATGGCATAAGCTAAGTGCTGTGGTTTATATTTTTAATATGACTGTACAACTGTTTCATGATTGTTGAAAATATTATTTGTTTTCCTCATTGAATTGTGTCTTAGTTTGAGCTACTATAACAAAGTACCATAGACTGGTTCACTTTTAAACCAAAAAGTATTTCTCACAGTTCTGGAGGCTGATCAAGATGCTGAAGTACAAGATCAAGATGCTGCCTGATCCAATGTCTAGTGAGGGATTGCTTCCTGTTTTATAAGTGACAGTCTTTTTGCTGTGTTCTCACATGGTAGAAAGAGGGAGAGTGCTCGCCAGGGTCTCTTTTATAAGGGTATTAATCTCACTCATGAAAGCACCATTCTCATGACCTAATAACCTCCCAGGGGACCTATCTCCTAATAATATCACACTGGGTGTTAGGATTTTAAGGCATAACAGGGGAGGATAAAAATATTCAGTTCATAAACAAATTGTGATATTTTTGCTGAAACTCAACTGAACATATATGTATTATTGAATACTTTATTCTGCCACAATGCTATATTTATTTATATAAGAACCACATATTCTTGGTAAGTATAAAAATAGTTAATATCAGGAGTGTAAATTCCTCAAATGTGTTATTTATTTTCAATAAATTTTGACTATTACAGTCCCTTTGCACTTTCATATATATCTTAGATCCATCTGTCAATTTCTATAAAATTTCTGCTGGGATTTTTTTTTTCCTGGAAGCTGCATAATCTCTTAGGGATTGGATGTCTGGGAATCTGCTGGGATTTTGATTGGGATTGCATTGGGTCTATAAATAAATTTAGAAAGAATTACCATCTTAAATGAGTATTCCAATCCACAACACAATAACTCTTTTCTACTTATTTAGTTGTTAAATTTCTCTCAGAAAAATTTTTTGTACTCTGAAAGCAGTGTATAGACCTTCTACATCTTTTGTTAAATTTATTCCTAAATATCATATTTGTCAAATCATAATGTTATTATATGTGGCATATATATAATTAAATTTCAATTATACTTATTTTGCAATACTATATGGAAACCATATTATTTTGTATACTTAGCTTGTATCTTGCAATTTTGTCAAATGTTTATTGGCTACAGTATCTTTGGTAGATTCTATAGAATTTGCAACATAATTATGCTGTTTGCAAAATGATAGGTACTTTATAAAAATTAAGTATGGTTTCCTTTTTCTTTATGTCTCATTGCATTGGATAGATTCTCTTGAACAATGCTGAATAGAGTGGTGGGAGCAAACATTCTTGCCATGTTCCTGATCTTGAGGGGAAGCATTAAGACTTTCACCACTAAATAGGATCTGGGAAGATGCCCTATATTAGATTAGAACAAATTCCCTTCTATTATTAGTCTGTTGACAATTCTTATGACTAGTTGACACTGGGTTTTGTCAAAGGCTTTTTCTGCATTTATTGAGATAATCGTGTTTCTTTCTTTCTTTTTTTGTTTGGTAATATAGTGAATTACAGTTTTTCAAATGTTTAACTTAGCATTCTTGAGATGAGCCTCATTTCATCATTATGCAATGTCCTTTTTATATATAACATATATATATGCCTTTTTTCAATAGTTTTAGATGGTATAAATAGTTTTTGATTACATGGTTGCACTGTACGTAGCAAAGAAGAAGTTTGGGCTTTAAGTGTACCCACCACTCCCACCTGTGCACACTGTACCCAATAGGTAATTTTTTTCCATCCACTTCTTCCCCCACTCTTTTGAGTCTTTAATGTCCTTTATATCATTCTCTATGACTTTGCAGATCCTTAGTTTATCTCCCACTTATAAGTGTGGTTTTGGTTTTCTGTTCCTGCATTAATTCACTTGGGAAGGTGTTCTCCAATTCCACCCAAGTTGCTGCAAAGACATTGTTTCACTTTTTGATGACTGAATATATATATATATATACCACATTTTCATTATTCATTCATCAGTCGATGGGCATTTAGGCTGACTCCACATCTTTGAAATCGTGAATTGTGCTACAATGAACATAAGAGTGCAGGTGCCTTTCTAAAATATAATGACTTCTGCTTCCTTGGGTGGATACCCAGTAGTGGGATTACTGGATTAAATGGTAGGGCAGCAATCCCTTCTGGTTTGTAGATTTTCTTTGGAGAAGCCTGCTGTTAGTCTGATAGGCTTACCTTTGTAAGTTACTTGATGCTTTTACCTTGGAGATTAACTTTTTGCAATGAATCTTCTGGGGTTCTTTGGGATTCTTGCATCTGGATGTTTAAATATCTGGTGATACACAGGATGTTTTCCTCCATTATTCCCTCAAATAAGTTTTCCAAATCTATTGTTTTCTCTTTTTCCTCAGAAACATCTACGTTTCTTAAGTTTGAATGTTTTACATAATCCTACAGTTCTTGGAGACTTTGTTCCATTCTCTTGATCCTTTTTTCTTTATCATTGTCTAATTGGGTTAACTCAAAAGACTTGTCTTAAGATCCTTTCTTCTACTTGTTCTAGTCTACTGTTAAAACTTTCCATTGAGTGTTGTACTTCCCTAAATGATTCTTTTATTTTGGAATTTCAGCTTTTATTCCTTTTTTTTTTTTTTTTTTGGTGTCTAATTCTTTGAAGATTTTTAAATTTATGTCCTGAATGGGTTTTTTTTTTTTTTATTATTTCTTTGTGTTGGTTTTTGACTTTCCCTTGAATCTCATTAAGCAATTTTATAATCAACCTTTAAATTCTATGTCTGGAATTTCAAATATTTCTTTTTGATTAGTATCCATTGCTGAAAAGTTATTGTGATCTTCTGAGGGTGTTGAAGAATTCTGTTTTTTTGTACTGTCAGAAGTACTTTTCTAATTCCTTCTTATTTGGGTAGACTATTT